TCTACAAATTGGCAACAACCACTGATTTTATGAAGGACAAAAATTTCCTGTTACAAGTGGGTGAACGACTGAGACATTCTGTTAAATTGAAAAATAAAAGACTGATTCCGGTTCCCCTCTTTGAAACTTTCGCACTTTCTGTTCACATCTTTCCTAAACAGCAAACCGAATGTTCTTGGTCCTGTAGTTTTCGGCAGTATCATTTTATAAGTACACTTTTTTTCACCATCCGCGCGCTACAACTTTATGGCTATTTTTTGCTGATTTGCCTTCCGAAATTAATTTTAAAGAATGTAGCCTTTTGCCCATCAAAAATATCGCAAAAATGGTAGAATAAACACATTTTAAGAGTGTTCTGAAATTAACCTGACAGAATTGTCCCGTATACCAGTAATCCAAGCATTTACAATAGCCATTATCCATTGGTCTGCCACCATTCAAACATTTCACCAACTCACAATGTGCCCCATGAATGTATTCCGGATGAGGACACCTGAATTTTGCCTTATTTCGCATTTTAAAACATCAAAAACAAAATTAAGCAACAAGTGGACAACATAAAATCGCTCTTACTTGCAAGCATATCGTGCCGGAACAAGGTTCGGTACTTTGATGAGTGTGCCATTGTTGATGCAAACAATCTCCTCGCACAGTTCGCCTCTATAAAATTTTGGGCAAACACATTCTCCTGCAACTGATTAAATAAGAAACTGATTTTTACCACAGAGCAGGAAATATTTGAGGAACTTGATATCTCAAATTTCTAACGGCCAAAGCTAGCAAAATAATCCCATTTTGCTTAGCCGATGGCAAATAACCAATCACAACTGAATGTTGCGAATATTGGCCCAAAAAATGACAGAAACTTGAACCCAGGCTGGAACGTGCCAGTCGGGCCGCGCGATCATGCGTTTTTGTACTATTTCATGCTGTAGCAAAATCGCAAAGGATCCCAGTAATTAGAATTTCTGACATACTGGTACTCGACGTCCAAGAAGTTAATTCTGCAGCTATGTGGTGTGTCAGTTGTCGATGTCGGTTTCAGCGATCCGACAAACAGAAAGTCGCGAAAAAGACCTCATGAGAAGAGCAGAATTTGAACTGGTGGTAAATGAGTAAGGAACATTACCCTAAGGTTTCAGTTCTCTAGATTTTCTTGTTCCCGAGCTAGCAATTTTACCGTCAAAACTTTCACGCGTCCATACAAGAGGCGTAACCGTGCGTGTCAGTTGATATTATATTTCTGGGGTTGCATTTGGCCGGGCAATACACTGGCAAAATTTCAGCATCAAAGCTTGCGTGGATGCCGAGTAGAAATAACAAAAATACACACAGACAAGGTCGTAGCAATATGCGTTTTTACTGCCTATTGTAGTATTTTAGCTGCCTGTAGCAGCGTTTTAGCGCTGCACAGCAAAAACGCATAAAAATTACACTGTTTGTAATAACAGCGTGACTAGAGCTCCTGGTAATTTACGGACTATTTTTAACTGTCTCATGAACGCCTCTGGTTTTACTACTGATGGATTTGGAAGAAGCTGACAGTTACATCTATCTGAACCATCAAATAAACGTATGCGAAAAAGCTGGCAACCGGAGATTGCACGTCGAAGTATACACATAGATTCTACATTTGGAGGGCAACGGCTGGTACTAAATCAAAGGATCCAGAAATAGTAAAAATAAATGGCAACGCGCACCAGGCTAGCCGGTGCGATCATGCGTTTTGTGCAATTCAGCC